ATGAAGAAATTGTAGACTGGAACTTTTTAGCTAAACTAATCCAGTTGCAAGAAGATGAGGGCCTACACTTGGCAAATAAACTTTCTAGAAAACACATTTCCTTCAGAAACCAAATTATGAAAGTAAAGCTTGCTACACAGACGCTAAGCAGGAGTGTTGCGAAAGCACTGCAGTTTTGTAGAACTGATCTAAATCTTCCAGATTTTAAACGTTCGTAACCCACTGAAGAATTTGTTCAATTAATGAATGACATGTTTGATATTTTTAACTCACTAACTATGGCCCATTTCGATTACAGAAAACCTATATATAAAGGAAATAAAACTGAAATTTATGCACTTTTGGACCGGCTTCAGGATTACATACAAAAATTGCAAATAAAAGGTGTCACCAATAGAAAAGTTATTAAAGACCGTCGACCAACGTACGTTATAACGCGATTTTATAAGAGAGTTGTGGAAACAAGATGCAAACCTGGTTTTATTGGAACTTTGATAAATATATCAAGTTTAAAGTCACTTTATGAGCGTCTGATAGAAAAAGAAAAATGTATGGTGTTTTTACCTACTTATAAACTTAGCCAAGATCATCTTGAAATATTTTTTGGCTACGTCAGAATGCATGGGGGCCATAATGATAATCCAAACGTGAAATAATTTAAAGCCATATATCGAAAATTGTTAATGCATTTAGAAATGAGGAGTCTAGAAACTGGAAATTGCATTCCGCTGGAGAATATCGCAATATTGACGTGTACTTCCGCTACACAAATTATTAATTTAACAACTTCATCGTACCGACAAGAAGACACTGATAACTCTGAAAGTGTTTCTTTAAGTTTTCTAAAGGACTTGCCAACAGATGTCAACAATTTAGCACAGTATTTAGATGTGCCAGTTTTTAATGACATGAAAAAAATGATTGTTGGATATATTGCTGGATGTGTCATACGGTACGTCAGAAAAGAAATCAAATGTGAATCTTGCTTGACACATTTGGTATCTATGGAAAAAAAAGATTTTCACAAATTGATTGGCTTGAGAGATAGAGGAGGTTTAATTTTTCCTTCCATAGACACTTATTATTACAGCGGCTGAAATTGTAATACGAAAAATTTTAAAAGAAAACGTTGTAATAAAAACAAAAAATGATTATAGGCATGTAACTTCACGGGTTCTAAAGAGTTTTATTCGCAACCAAACGATTTTTATGAATCTGGAGAATGATCATCAATGTTATGGAGTTGATCACAAAATTAATCTGGTAAAATTATTAATAGAAAAGTATTTAATGGTTCGATTGCACTATATAGCAAAATTAGAAACGAATGCTCGATGTTTAGACGCTAAATGGCAATATTATAAGAAATTAGTGCAAAACAAAGGCTGTTAAGATTTTATGTGTGTAAAATAATTGTTTATTACAATTATTTTTTACACCTAACTTTAACTTTAACGATTGTAATATGTTGAATTACTTATGTTTTTCAATTATAATATACCTATTATATGATAATAGAGAAATGTCCAAAAAGTGTTATAAAGTATTTTCATTGTCTGATATAAATTAATAAAATCAATTAAATGTAATTAAGTATGCGTATTTAACTTTTATTGAATCATTAATTATTTGAAAATAATTATTCTGTCCAAATACCACTTAATTACCTATAAAGCAAATGCACATTTTTAATTTGGAGTTGGGAAATTGGGAGTTTTTTCTCAATATCTGGTAACTTTAAACACACATATGTGCACGTGTCCCTCACAGAGTACCTTTGTATAAACTGAAATAGAGACCAATCTTCGACCTATAAATGGCAATGCATAACTAGCGCCTCTAGTATCCAAAGTTAGCAACTTTATTGTAATATCTATAAATATAAGCTTATATATACGCACATGCCGTATATATATATATATATATATATATATATATATATATATATATATGGCACCTACGTATAAATATTATTGTTCTCATCATAGATATTAATAATTAAAATCAAAATAAATAAAACTAACATTATATTTACAGGATTTATTAAAAAACAGCACACAAATACAATAATAGTTATGACAATAATAAATATCAGTACATTTATTCAACTTAAATATAGCAATTAATGAACAGCCTGAAACAAAGATAAGAACTAAATTTAAAACATTAAATAATGTAAATCTGCACTCAACTTCTTATATTATAATATGTATTTAAAATGCGTCAAGAATAAAATTGAGATCGTTTGCAATTGAAATAAATTTGAAACCAATTGCTAAAACAATTCTACATTATTGCTCCATTAAATTGAGACGAAGATACTCGGCCGAATATGCGGCTAAATCACCGAATATTCGTTTAAATGGTACTAAAAATGTCCACTTGAATTGTACGAATTGAGTAATGTCATGTCTTTCATAATTTTACTATTGAAAGTATATTTTATTTATGGGTTAAGTCTACTTGAAATTTTATGTTTTCGAGGTACTTTAGATTTATTTCCGATTATAGCAAATAGAAAGTTTGATAAAATGTTTTTGGAATCAAACAAAGAAAACATTAAATTAAATTAGTACATTTCACTTTAATTTGGTCGTCAGTTTAGATATATTAATAATTGGTTAGTTACAGAGGTGATCCCGTTGAATAATGTTCGGCCGAATATTCTGTTCGGTAAAAGTTTTACTGAACTTTCGGCCGAATATTCGTATTCGGTGACAACCATATTCGGCCTATATCAAATTAAAATCAAATCCAATCTTGAATATTTGTTTTTCTTAATCTTTTTAATTATTAAATTGAAATGATAGTAAAATTTAGGTCCTTTGGAATTGCGGCGATTTATAATTTTTTGAAATGAATTTTAAACCAATTGCCAATCAAATAAGCAATTCTGCATATTGCTCCATTAAAATCGAATCGAATATTGACAAAAACAAATATTCAAGCAATAATATTTATATAATAATGAATATTTGAAAACAAATATTAAAGCAGTATGCTAGCAATGAAGACGTCTTAAACTCACATTATATAATGACTTATATCAAATAATTTAAAGCTCAAAATAAGTTATGCTTCTTTGCATTATTTCTAACACTTTTTTGAATAAAATATGTAATACAAAAAATTATGCTCTGTATGCCCTGTAGTGTAATAAGTCGTGACGGCGTAAGAGAATTTGCTACTCTAAAACATGAGCTATGCGTAGCAGCCTCTTCGGAAAAAAATATGCTGCCGTTGCCAACCCACCTGATATACTGTGGCAAATATTCCCATAGTATCACGCGTAGAATACCATAATACATACATAATAGAACGGGGGGAGTGGGCGGAGCCCGCGTAGCCACTAAAATGTCACTAATACGTCTATTCACACGTATAAATGTGAACACGATATGTGTTTTGACGGTTACAATGGTTTCCAAATTTTGCATGCAAATTATTTAGAAAATGCCAAATTGCACACTATTTACGAATAAATATGTATGTGTTAAACGATTTTTTTTAATGAGATTCACTCTGTCAACACAGCGAATCGGGTTTGTCGACGCCCTTCCTCGTACAAAATAAAGCAAACTCGTACAAAATACAGCCATTCTATTGTGTATTATAGTATTCTATGGTATCACCAACCTTTAGCAATAGACTTTGTGTTTAAAAATAAATTATTTGATGAATATTGTAATAATGCATTCTATAGACTCATAGATTATATCTAGCCTATTTAATAACGACATATCTGCTAATTATAAAAATACATTTGTATAAAAAAAATAAGACTCATTAATCTTACTTTTATAATTTGGTGGTTCAATTTAAGCGTATTTATTATTACATATCATTGATAAATCAGTTTAGAACGCATGAATATATAAAATGTGTAACAGTAATTAAATATTATTAACTCAATTTTGGTAGCAACAAGAGTAATTATTTCTTTCTTTTAAAAAGTTTACTTCTTAACCTTTGGGCTTTAATTTGAAAATAGTTCTCATCATCATCTACTTCTTTTCTCCCAGTCAATATTCTATTATTATTTTTAAAACTATTAAAAATCAGACAACACATCACAATATTTATCAAATAATCAACTAATTTATTTTTATGCACATTACATTTCATAAAATCGAAATCAATTAAAGTATATAATATGCTTGTTTTCATAATTTCTTTTAACTGATCATTTTCAAAATTGTCCTTTGAAATATGATTGACTATATCCCGCATATCTGAAATTGATTAAATCAAATCATTGCATGGAGTACAAAGCCACCTGCATATTCTCTGTATTTTAGGTATTCTATTTCATCTTCAGAAAATAGGTCATATTTACAGTTTTTTTTTTATTCTTAGAAAAAGGGCTTTGTCACTGAAGCGATTATGACGCCCTGGTACAACAAAATTCTTAAATAGTATAAATACTAACAAATAAACTTATTAATTATTTAATCTCTTATTTACTAACACAAAGTTCTTTGGCATCATCTGATAACGGGTCTGAAAAAATACTATTACTATAATACTGCTAATCACTGACAAACATAAAATACATTTTTTTCTTTCTATGGAGTTCTGGGCACATTCTATCAAAATGTGATAAGCATCATCTATAACATTGCAAGTTGAACAGTTTGGTGAGGTAGTTTTTCGCTTCAAGTACAAAAATTTATTGCATAGGATGTGCCCAGATCTGAGTCTTAATGCTATCACAGTATCGGGTCTACACAATATTCCATTATCTATCCAGGTTGAGCGCATTGGGTACGGCTGGATCGTACGGTACCATATACCCTTTTCTTTTGCTCTTTCGTCAAAATATTTCTTCCAAAGGTCATAACAATATTTTTTTTTAATAAAGGTAAAGGTATATAGTTTTGAAATGAAGGGGTAAAATTAATAAAATAGCCGAAATAGCTTGTTTGGCTAAAATATCAGCTTTTTCATTACCCTCTAAGCCAATGTGCGAAGGTATCCATTGTAAATATACTATTCTGGAGTCAGCCTGTAACTTTGAGTCTGTTAAAATAACAATATTGCATATTTACAGTTAACACAATGTTTATATTTAGTTTCATTGTAATTGGCGTGAGGTTTATTTCTAAAATTTTTGTGAAATCAAATGTGCAGGTTGACGATGCCTCTATGTTTTCATTAACAATGAGTGTGCATGTGCCAGCATTACAATAATCTAGCTCGCAGTTTTTACCATGAGAGTGGACACTACTTAAATTATTAATCAAAAGGGTGGCAAAAGCTGACTCATATTGGTCACAAGTTGGATTAATATTACGGCATCCATGGCGTTTAACAGATCCAAAGCAATTTTCCAGTGGGTCCTGATTCAGATGACGCAACCAAACTGATGTAATGCCAAAATCAATTTCAATTTTTTTTTTAATAAAACTTCCATCCCTTCTAGTGGCCACACCCAATTGTTTACAGTTGGAATAAATTGTACCAGTGGAAGATACACATCATAGACGCAAAAACTTTTTTGGCATCCATACATGTTTTGTGATGTATGGAGTGAGCTGTTGCAGGTCCAAGTCGAGTTTTGGCATCTTTTCTTTTAAAAACTGCCATTAACTGAGTCGAAAATATTATCCATAAAAGCAGCAGATCAGCATCTTCGTACTCTTCTCGAAGGATACCCTTTGTCTTTTTCTTGTCTGCCAATGCTCCTCCTTAAAATTAGAAATGAAAAAAAAATTATCAACCAGTTTTGTTTAAAAAACGAAAGAAAAGAAACAATTATTACAACACCCCACAAACATCATTAAGTATTTATAAGTGGTTGCGAATTGACTTTCCTGAATCTAATAATTTTAAATTTATTGACCAATAATTTAATGTAAATTTTGGTACCTATCTAAATTCTTTAAATTTGTTATTTTACGTTCATGCACAAAATAGTTCATAGGGTGCACTTTAATGCCATAGGGAATTCTATCAGTCAACTATTAAGCTAAACAGAGGAACATATAAGAGGTGGTGGAGCAATAATCAAGAAGGGCTTTTTTATAGGATAGGGTGACAAATGAGCACACAGTCCACCTGATGGTAAGTGGTTGCTGTGGCCCATAGACATCCACATCTATCCTCGATTACAAATAAAAATGCAGACGCGTTGTCACCCGTGAGGACTAAGATGAAATGCCTCGTTTCCAGTAAAAAGGGTCTCCGGTTCTCTACACTCACCATACGAAACAGTAGCATTAAGCTACTATTTTACGCTGGTATTCTGTGAGAGCGTGGTCCTTCCTGGACTACTGATATAACTGCAGCATGGCTCTACCACGTAAAAAAGGGCTGATAAAATACTAGCAATGATATTATCATTACTAATATTCCCCTTAACCACCAGCTTAAAATGCTTGTGCTAGGGACGGTTCACGAGAGTAATCGAATAGCGGACTCGATTTCACGACATTTTGAGCTCGCGGCCCGTACCCTGCCATTAGGCTAACGTAATGATACCAATGATTTCAAAATGAAGGATTCTTCATACAAGAAAAAGTAGCGCATCTGTCATAATACAAACGTTATAACACGACGTAACCAGGGTCGGATTTCGTAGTATAATTATCCTATTTATACCATTATTTCATAATGTGCAGTATGCAGTATCTTAATAATACTAGGCAAATTGCAATTCGTCATCGCACATGTGTAAACATTGTTTATGAGTCTTATCCTATTCATTTTTACCAGAAGCTTGATGACGGCAGCAGCTTCTCTCAGTTTGTGTGTCGAAATGAAAACAGAATTTTAAAATATTTTATGAATACGATGTTCAGTTTCAATTATGTAGGTATCGTTTCTTTTGTGTTCTTTTCGTTTTACCCTTACTGAATATAAAACACATTAGGTATTAGGTAAGTTCTTAAGACAAAAATAAAACAGAAATAATAATAAAACCAAAAATCAAAACGTATAAAATCACTAGCTACGTGACGTCAAAAATTTGGCGAAAAAAAAACAATAAAACGTCAAACTTGGTATAATTTTGGACAAATAGTATAACTTTACTTTCCCTGTACAAAATTAATTAAATTACACACTTCTGTAATTATCTTCCATGTTCATTTTGTATTTCTTTGATTTTTTATTAATTTATTTTTATAATATTCTTTTTTCAGATTTTTAATAATTTTGTTACACATGTTTCTCATATAAGTACTTAATCTTTAGTTCTTCATTATCCGGTAACTTTTTAGTTTTCATATGTAGATTATCTCTTTTCCTTACATATAAATATTGTCTATGTCAGAACAAATATGAAATATATATCATATTATCAAATATTAAATATAAATAGTTATCATCTCTCAATCAAAATAAATCATACCTAAAAACGTTTCAGCCCTTTTCTTTATAACTACAGGATTAGTTGATATCACAGGATCTTGCATTGGAGTAACTGGATCTGAAACATTAGTTAATTTTCTTTCAGCAACATGCTTCACTTTTATAATTATTCCTTTGCTACTTTATATCATTGTAATACTTTTAGCCATGATTTTACACAGGCGTTTGTGACAAATGAGCACACAATCAAACTGATGGTAATTTGATGCTGTACCTATAGATATCTACATTTAAATTCAATTAAAAATTAAAATGCAGATGCGTTGCCACCCCTGAAGACTACGATAGAATACCTCATTTCCAGTAAAACCTAAACACCATACAAAACTCACCCGCATTAAGCAGCGTGGCTCTACCACATATAAGTTATAAGAACTTCATTAAAAACATTGAATTATAATTACAATCATAGAAAAACATTAAATATACAGAGTAATTCAAAATTTTTGCATTATAAAAAAGTTTATATCTTATGTTCAAGAGCCGTGGTAGCTCAGATGGTTAGCGCTCGCTGTAAATTTCACAATACGCGAGCAAACCGAGTTCGATCCCCGCCGGCACCAATGAAATTGTTAATTGCAATTTTAAGTGCTGATTTACCACGTGCTCGGCGGTGAAGGAAAACATCATGATGAAACCTGCATGTCTGAGATATAAAAAAAAATTATTTCGAAGACATGTGAAGTTCGCCAACACGATTTATTTCGACGCATATTACGACGCATTGGGGCAGCGCAGCGGACTATTTCCTGCCCTAAAACCCTCTCAGAAATGAGTGGAGGCCTGTGCCCAGCAGTGGGACGTATATAGGCTGTAACTTTACTTTACTTTTTATGTTCATAAATTGAAACTGTTAAAAAATGGCATCATAAGTCAGACTAACCAAGATTTTCTTTGTGAGAAGTATTTCCTTCCATTTTTGTGTATAATCGATGTACCGAACGTTCAGAGTAATGACCTGAAATGAAATTCATAAATCAATATCAAAAGAAGACAAGGAAAGATTTAAAGAAATAACCAAACTAAATATATCACTGTAGGTTAGGAGAAATGGGTGTTTCTCAGTGGATTGAATTGTAAATCCCACGACAATGTAGTGTTAAGTTTAGAGTATGTTTCCTCTCATTACCATCTTTACCAACATTACACGGCGACCCTGCCAGACAATGCGCTGCGACAATGCAAGTGCACTGTCGCAGTCTGAATAATTATTAAACTGTTAAATAAAAAAAAGAATTTAACTGTAATTTACTGGAATTGACACAATTATACTGGATATGATGAAAAGGAAAATTAAGAGAGACCACATTCACAATCTAGCTTGTACACACCTGCATCTTGTAGAGGAATATAACATTTGATGGATGGTAAAAATTGATCAATCTTCTTCGGCGGCTTGTAATTTTTTAATGAAAGCTCCCTTCAAGATGTAACCAACCTTGTCTGTGACTCCTCTGAAATACGGCAGTACAGCAGGCGGGCGCTCGACTGTGGCCGGCTTCACTCGGCGCGGGACCCGAAGCTTGTTTGTCTTGCAACACTTGCTTGACATGCTGAAGCTCGGCGGCCATATGTTTTCTGTCACAGATCCTCTGCCACCTACGCCTCCACATCTACCACCGCACCCCTCTAGCCTTCGTTCTCCACCTCCGCTACCTCCGCCTCCACCATAAACTCTGCTCCCTCCGCCGCCACCACCACGCGCCGTCACTACTCTTTCCGCCTACAACACAATCTAAGGTCGACCCACTTCTGACCCCGCTCTCCCCGTTTCCACTATCTCAGACTTCACCACAAATTTCTTTCCTCCGCCTTCACCACAAGCTACGCTGCATTCACCTCCGCCTCAACCACGTCTCCGTTTTCCGCCTCTAACTTTTAACTAACAAACTAACAAAACGAGCCTAAACTCGGCACACCCAGTTCTACTAGTCCAGGTGTTACAGTGTTAGTTACCGAATTACATTTTGAGGTCACTCCATCAAGACCGGAGGTAAGGTCTCATGATAATATCTCATGTAATAGTTCGATTCTATACCTATCAATTTTGTAAACGCGTCCTTAAAAATCGTGATTATGAAGATGTAGAAAACATGTTAACTGGTTTATGGTAAACACACACACACACAAACACGCAAGCGCGCGTGCAAATATGCACACATGCGCACACGCACAAACGCATACACACACTCACACACGCACACACATGCGTTCACACGAACACACATGAACGCACGTACACCCACACGCACACATAAACTCACACACCCACATGCGCAAGCACATGCTCACATCCGCGCGCGCGCCCACACACACACACACACACACACACACACACACACACACACACACACACACACACACACACACACAACACGCACTCAGGCGAATACCTTGTCGTTGTCGAGTTATTCGTCAAAAAAGTCGTTTATTTCGACCATAAGGATCATAGATGTTAGTAATAATACAAATCTTAAAACTAATTTTAGTTAAACTTGAAACTATTAACTTAATTTTAAAACTATTTATTTAAAACTATATTTAAGACAGGTCCAATTAGTCAGCACGTACACCATATGACAATGGTTCAGGTAATGACCTGGCCTGGCCTGAAATGAAGAACTGGCCCGCACCCTACGCACCAGGGATGTGCATCGTTTACGCATGGTGGTGTAGAAACAATCCACACGCGCATCCGCAAACAAACCCGGCGCATTACAGTAACGAGGCAGACCCAACAGCACCCTGAATGCTTTATTGTATTGAACACGCATTTAATCTGTAGCTTGTACCGCCAAAGATACGAAACGGCAACGTCGCGGCTGCTTTCAGCCAATCCGATCGTTTGTCTTATCATTTTCTGTGCTCTGATTGGCTCATTTAAATCGGATCAACATTTTCCGTAACCATCGCAAGGTGGATTTGTATATCGGATCAACTTCGGCAAACAACACACATATATATATATTTGTATTATAATAAAAGTTTATATCTTATGTTCAATAAATTGAAACTGTTAATAAATGCCATCAAAATTCTGACTAACCAAGATTTTCTTTGTGAGATGTATTTCCTTCCATTTTTGTATGTAATTGATGTACCGAGCATTCAGAGTAATGATCTGAAACGAAATTCATAATTCAAAAGAAGAAAAGATTTAAAGAACCAAAATAAATATATCAATAGGGGTTAGGAGAAATGGGTGTTTCTCAGTGGATTGAGTGTAACTCCCACAACAATACAGTGTTAAGTTTAGAATATGAGTTGTTTAATTAAAGTAATAGACGGATCAATGTGTCTCCTCTCGTTAACATCTTTACCAACATTACATGGCGACCCTGCCAGGCAATGCGCTGCAAATATTCAAGTGCACAGTCACAGCTGCATAGTTATTTAATTGTTAAATTGAAAAAGAATTTAATTGTAATTTACTTTGTGCAGTATACAGGTTATTGTTTAAAGAGTAGCTAAATTTTAAATTAAGTTCAAATATATAAATGATAAACCATTATTGCAGTTTTTGTAAATATGAGCAAGTAAGGCTTCTAATTTTATTTGCATCTATCCCAAATTGAACGTGATTTATGGGACACCATGTTTTTGTCTACAGATTGACCCTTATAAATGAGTGTGTGCACAGTAATATCAGTTAAAATAATGCATTACCACGCTTTTTGAATTTAAAAGATAAAAACAGAGGGGTGTTATAAATTAAACATTTGTATCTGTGTGTCCGTCTAAAGCATCATAGTGGCCAAACAGATGGAATATAATTTAGCTTTTTTTGTTGACAGGTGACTTGATCAAGAGATAAGCCGTTCAGCCATCTGAAGGCAATCATCTCAGATTGACCCTTATAAATGAGTGCGTGCACAGTAATATCAGTTAAAATAATGCATTACCACGCTTTTTGAATTTAAAAGATAAAAACAGAGGGGTGTTATAAATTAAACATTTGTATCTGTGTGTCCGTCTAAAGCATCATAGTGGCCAAACAGATGGAATATAATTTAGCTTTTTTTGTTGACAGGTGACTTGATCAAGAGATAAGCCGTTCAGCCATCTGAAGGCAATCATCTCGATTGACCCTTATATGAGTGCTGAGTAAATCAGTTAAAATAATGCATTACACGCTTTTTGAATTTAAAAGATAAAAACAGAGGGGTGTTATAAATTAAACATTTGTATCTGTGTGTCCGTCTAAAGCATCATAGTGGCCAAACAGATGGAATATAATTTAGCTTTTTTTGTTGACAGGTGACTTGATCAAGAGATAAGCCGTTCAGCCATCTGAAGGCAATCATCTCTTTTATTAGTTTTGAGGTTTATTAAAATTTTATTAAAGTTATTTAACATGTACATAAGTTTTATAAATTTTATGTTAGATTATTCCATTATATTTGTAGAGATTTTATTGTGTTTAATTTTATGGATTTTTAGTTATCATATAACAATATATAGTATATATTTTAGACTCTTAGTTAAGTCAATCCAAATTTAGGAACTTCTGTATCATCTCAACCCTTTCTACTGGAAACTTCTTTCTTTTTTTTTAGTTAAATAAATTAACATTTTTTCATATGTATATTAAGTCCCCTTGAAAAGGTCACATACTATGTTCAGCTGTGGACTTGTGATGTGCTGTAATCATGATAATACATATATGATCATATATATCAGTACCTGTTGATGTTGACGGTTCTGCTAGGTTCAAAATTTCTTTCATGGGTTTTCTTTTCATAACTGCTGGTTTATTTGATAATGTAGCTAAAAGAAAATAATAGGATTAACTTTGAAATTATTTATATATATGGCAATAAAAAACAGGCCCAGTATCTGTGATGACTTGCAAAAAGTATAATTTCACAATATAATAATAATATATAACATTATTTAATGAAAAAAGTAGAAAAAGTGGGGTGATAACACATTGCCAACTTAATATTTATGAAAACTAGGCTTAATTATCATATCCTCATCCTTCTGTCAGCCGGAATCGCTACATGTATTATCCTTTTAAGCTCTATAGTGCATATAAGTAGTATTTCATTTTATTCTATTTATTTAATGAATGAATCATTGTAAAAATTAATGCTATGTAGGTACCTACTCAATTAGACATATTTTACAATAAAACTATACATGTCATTGATAATATACTGTCCTGAATTAATTCTATAACATATTTACTTTTTCTGTAATCTATAAAGACAAACCTGGCATATTCAAAGTTGGCACAGCAATGTTACTAATTCTGTTATTTCTGCATTAAAATTTTTCTTCAAAATGTGAGTGACACACACGGCGATACTTGAATATGTGCATATTTTCGAGGCCTAGTATATCACCGCAATTGCATAAATCCATACCCTAAATCGTTCACTTTCCTTTTCTGGGTTTGGAAATCTGTGAAGAACTAGCTTGCCTAAAATATTTACAAGATACATTTAAAAAAAGTCATACTTATGTGTTAAAGCCTAAGACAAATAATGCCCTTGATGCAAGTTCTTTGGAGACGAGATGACTTACCCTTACTGTCCTTACATCCGGGGACACAGCAACGCTTATCTGACATAATTATTTAGATTATTTATTCTATGTAACAATGGAGACAAGATATCACAAAAAAACAAATCGTTGGAAATGAAGTTGTAAGAATAATAGGTAGCTCAATTCAACGTAAATAATATAATAGATAAAATAAAACAAAAAAAAAATAACATAAAAACACTTTCATAAAATAGGAGCAACTCCACCAAATAAAATAAAATATTAGTTATTCGCAACTCCAATATCGAGAAACAATGAAACAAGTAGCGGGAAACGTGAATAAAACTATTCCATAATGGCAGGTTGTTGTGCTGCCAGATTCAGTTTCAAAAAAATATCAAAAACATCTAGTTACTGGATTTTTTAATGAATAGTTTTACGAAAGCATATGTAAGCAGTATTTATTTATAAGAAAAATTCAAAAATTTTCATTACAGATTTTATATTAATGTTAAACAAAAGCAAATATCTTAATTTCTGTTACACTTATTTTCTACTAAATAGAACTATTTTTTTTAAAGATTTTGTAAAGCTACCCGATAGATGAGACATACTAGATGTCGCCACTATCTATGTAGTGGCGACATCTAGTATGTGATGAACGAATTATTCGCTTGAAATTTCGAACAGTGTCACCTATTATTGTAGGTTGGAATAAATACGATTTTATAATACGACTAAAATAAAAAGTAGTCAATAGATATGGTTTTAAATAGTTTACTAAGTGCGTCTTAATTTTGCATAATAGCATTTCGTAGGTTTCCAAGTTTTATGTTCTAAGATTGTAGAGCCTGGTGTCCCTACAATGCCGCTCCTAGCTGTCACGCACACTTAAATACACAGAGTACCTTTGTATAAACTGAAATAGAGACCAATCTTCGACCTATAAAATGGCAATGCATAACTAGCGCCTCTGGTATCCAAAGTTAGCAACTTTATTGTAATATCTATAAATATAAGCTTATATATACGCACACGCCGTTTATATATATATATATATATATATATATGTAGCACCTACGTATAAATATTATTGTTCTCATCATAGATATTAATAATTAAAATCAAAATAAATAAAACTAACATTATATTTACAGGATTTATTAAAAAAAGAGCACACAAATACAATAATAGTTATGACAATAATAAATATCAGTACATTTATTCAACTTAAATATAGCAATTAATGAACAGCCTAAAACAAAGATAAGAACTAAATTTAAAACATTAAATAATGTAAATCTGCCCTCAACTTCTTATATTATAATATGTATTTAAAATGCGTCAAGAATAAAATTGAGATCGTTTGCAATTGAAATAAATTTGAAACCAATTGCTAAAACAATTCTACATTATTGCTTCATTAAATTGAGACGAAGATACTCGGCCGAATATGCGGCTAAATCACCGAATATTCGTTTAAATGGTACTAAAAATGTCCACTTGAATTGTACGAATTGAGTAATGTCATGTCTTTCATAATTTTACTATTGAAAGTATATTTTATTTATGGGTTAAGTCTACTTGAAATGTTATGTTTTCGAGGTACTTTAGATTTATTTCCGATTGTAGCAAATAGAAAGTTTGATAAAATGTTTTTGGAATCAAACAAAGAAAACATTAAATTAAATTAGTACTTACTTAATAATTGGTTAGTTACAGAGGTGATCCCGTTGAATAATGTTCGGCCGAATATTCTGTTCGGTAAAAGTTTTACTGAACTTTCGGCCGAATATTCGTATTCGGTGACAACCATATTCGGCCTATATCAAATTAAAATCAAATCCAATCTTGAATATTTGTTTTTCTTAATCTTTTTAATTATTAAATTGAAATGATAGTAAAATTTAGGTCCTTTGGAATTGCGGCGATTTATAATTTTTGAAATGAATTTTAAACCAATTGCCAATCAAATAAGCAATTCTGCATATTGCTCCATTAAAATCGAATCGAATATTGACAAAAACAAATATTCAAGCAATAATATTTATATAATAATGAATATTTGAAAACAAATATTAAAGCAGTATGCTAGCAATGAAGACGTCTTAAACTCACATTATATAATGACTTATATCAAATAATTTAAAGCTCAAAATAAGTTATGCTTCTTTGCATTATTTCTAACACTTTTTTGAATAAAATATGTAATACAAAAAATTATGCGCTGTATGCCCTGTAGTGTAATAAGTCGTGACGGCGTAAGAGAACTGCCATTAACTGAGTCGAAAATATTATCCATAAAAGCAGCAGATCAGCATCTTCGTACTCTTCTCGAAGGATACCCTTTGTCTTTTTCTTGTCTCCCAATGCTCCTCCTTAAAATTAGAAATTAAAAAAAATTATCAACCAGTTTTGTTTAAAAAACGAAAGAAAAGAAACAATTATTACAACACCCCACAAACATCATTAAGTATTTATAAGTGGTTGCGAATTGACTTTCCCGAATCTAATAATTTTAAATTTATTGACCAATAATTTAATGTAAATTTTGGTACCTATCTAAATTCTTTAAATTTGTTATTTTACGTTCATGCACAAAATAGTTCATAGGGTGCACTTTAATGCCATAGGGAATTCTATCAGTCAACTATTAAGCTAAACAGAGGAACATATAAGAGGTGGTGGAGCAATAATCAAGAAGGGCTTTTTTATAGGATAGGGTGACAAACGAGCACACAGTCCACCTGATGGTAAGTGGTTGCTGTGGCCCATAGACATCCACATCTATCCTCGATTACAAATAAAAATGCAGACGCGTTGTCACCCGTGAGGACTAAGATGAAATGCCTCGTTTCCAGTAAAAAGGGTCTCCGGTTCTCTACACTCATCATACGAAACAGTAGCATTAAGCTACTATTTTACGCTGGTATTCTGTGAGAGCGTGGTCCTTCCTGGACTACTGATATAACTGCAGCATGGCTCTACCACGTAAAAAAGGGCTGATAAAATACTAGCAATGATATTATCATTACTAATATTCCCCTTAACCACCAGCTTAAAATGCTTGTGCTAGGGACGGTTCACGAGAGTAATCGAATAGCGGACTCGATTTTACGACCTTTTGAGCTCGCGGCCCGTACCCTGCCATTAGGCTAACGTAATGATACCAATGATTTCAAAATGAAGGATTCTTCATACAAAAAAAAGTAGCGCATCTGTCATAATACAAACGTTATAACACGACGTAACCAGGGTCGGATTTCGTAGTATAATTATCCTATTTATACCATTATTTCATAATGTGCAGTATGCAGTATCTTAATAATACTAGGCAAATTGCAATTCGTCATCGCACATGTGTAAACATTGTTTATGAGTCTTATCCTATCCATTTTTACCAGAAGCTTGATGACGGCAGCAGCTTCTCTCAGTTTGTGTGTCGAAATGAAAACAGAATTTTAAAATATTTTATGAATACGATGTTCAGTTTCAATTATGTAGGTATCGTTTCTTTTGTGTTCTTTTCGTTTTACCCTTACTGAATATAAAACATATTAGGTATTAGGTAAGTTCTTAAGACAAAAATAAAACAGAAATAATAATAAAACCAAAAATCAAAACATATAAAATCACTAGCCACGTGACGTCAAAAATTTGGCAAAAAAAAAACAATAAAACGTCAAACTTGGTATAATTTTGGACAAATAGTATAACTTTATTTTCCCTGTACAAAATTAATTAAATTACACACTTCTGTAATTATCTTCCATGTTCATTTTGTATTTCTTTGATTTTTTTATTAATTTATTTTTATAATATTCTTTTTTTCAGATTTTTAATAATTTTGTTACACATGTTTCTCATATAAGTACTTAATCTTTAGTTCTTCATTATCCGGTAACTTTTTAGTTTTCATATGTAGTTTATCTCTTTTCCTTACATATAAATATTGTCTATGTCAGAACAAATATGAAATATATATCATATTATCAAATATTAAATATAAATAGTTATCATCTCTCAATCAAAATAAATCATACCTAAAAACATTTCAGCCCTTTTCTTTATAACTACAGGATTAGTTGATATCACAGGATCTTGCATTGGAGTAACTGGATCTGAAACATTAGTTAATTTTCTTTCAGCAACATGCTTCACTTTTATAATTATTCCTTTGCTACTTTATATCATTGTAATACTTTTAGCCATGATTTTACACAGGCGTTTGTGACAAATGAGCACACAATCAAACTGATGGTAATTTGATGCTGTACCTATAGATATCTACATTTAAATTCAATTAAAAATTAAAATGCAGATGCGTTGCCACCCCTGAAGACTACGATAGAATACCTCATTTCCAGTAAAACCTAAACACCATACAAAACTCACCCGCATTAAGCAGCGTGGCTCTACCACATATAAGTTATAAGAACTTCATTAAAAACATTGAATTATAATTACAATCATAGAAACACATTAAATATACAGAGTAATTCAAAATTTTTGCATTATAAAAAAGTTTATATCTTATGTTCAAGAGCCGTGGTAGCTCAGATGGTTAGAGCTCGCTGTAAATTTCACAATACGCGAGCAAACCGAGTTCGATCCCCGCCGGCACCAATGAAATTGTTAATTGCAATTTTAAGTGCTGATTTACCACGTGCTCGGCGGTGAAGAAAAACATCATGATGAAACCTGCATGTCTGAGATATAAAAAAAAAATTATTTCGAAGACATGTGAAGTTCGCCAACACGATTTATTTCGACGCATATTACGACGCATTGGGGCAGCGCGGCGGACTATTTCCTGCCCTAAAACCCTCTCAGAAATGAGTGGAGGCCTGTGCCCAGCAGTGGGACGTATATAGGCTGTAACTTTACTTTACTTTTTATGTTCATTAAATTGAAACTGTTAAAAAATGGCATCATAAGTCAGACTAACCAAGATTTTCTTTGTGAGAAGTATTTCCTTCCATTTTTGTGTATAATCGATGTACCGAACGTTCAGAGTAATGACCTGAAATGAAATTCATAAATCAATATCAAAAGAAGACAAGGAAAGATTTAAAGAAATAACCAAACTAAATATATCACTGTAGGTTAGGAGAAATGGGTGTTTCTCAGTGGATTGAATTGTAAATCCCACGACAATGTAGTGTTAAGTTTAGAGTATGTTTCCTCTCATTACCATCTTTACCAACATTACACGGCGACCCTGCCAGACAATGCGCTGCGACAATGCAAGTGCACTGTCGCAGTCTGAATAATTATTAAACTGTTAAATAAAAAAAAAGAATTTAACTGTAATTTACTGGAATTGACACAATTATACTGGATATGATGAAAAGGAAAATTAAGAGAGACCACATTCACAATCTAGCTTGTACACACCTGCATCTTGTAGAGGAATATAACATTTGATGGATGGTAAAAATTGATCAATCTTCTTCGGCGGCTTGTAATTTTTTTAATGAAAGCTCCCTTCAAGATGTAACCAACCTTGTCTGTGACTCCTCTGAAATACGGCAGTACAGCAGGCGGGCGCTCGACTGTGGCCGGCTTCACTCGGCGCGGGACCCGAAGCTTGTTTGTCTTGCAACACTTGCTTGACATGCTGAAGCTCGGCGGCCATATGTTTTCTGTCACAGATCCCACGTGCTCTCTGAAACAAATATTTACACACGGTAGCTAACTTTTGGGAATTAAAAATAAGTTAAAATAGTTGATTAAACGCGATAAAATCCGTATATATAGTTTTTATTCAATGTGTAGTGTTCGCGTAAATTTAAGAAATCATTATGCGTCTTTGTATTATTTCTAACACATTTTTTTAAATAAAATAAATATTAGAAATAATAATGTGCTGTATTTTACTCTGTAATGTAATGACGGCGTAAGAGAATTCACTACTCAATATCATCCTGTGCATAGATTACTGTATATATGCTAGAGATTCCGTGTGTCGTAAGAAGCGACAGAGATAAACTAAAACATGAGATGTGTAGCAGCCTCTTCAGAAAAAAAAAACGCTGCGGTTGCCAACCCGCCTGTTATACTGACAAATATTCCCATAATATCACCAATCTTTAGCAATGGACTTACGATTATAAAATGTGCTTAAAAATAAATTGATTAATATTGTAATAATGCATTCTTTTCATAGTATCTAACCTATTTAGCAATGATATATCTGCTTATTATAAAAAATGTAAAAAAAAATTATGATTCTTTATTCTTACTTTTATAACTCGGTAGTTCAATTAAAGCGTATCTATTATTACAAATCATTGATTAGTTTAAAACGAACGAATAAATAAAATTTGTAACAATAATTAAATATTTAACTCTTTTTGGTAAAAACAAGAGTAATTATTTCTTTCTTTTAAAAAGTTTACTTCTTAACTTTTTGGCTTTAATTTGGAAAAAGTTCTCATCATCATCTACTTCTTTTCTCCCAGTCAATATTCTATTAATATTTTTACAACTATTAAAAATCAGACAACGTATCACAATATTAATCAAATAATCAACTAATTTATTTTTATGCACATTACATTTCATAAAATCAAAATCAATTAAAGTATATATGCTTGTTTTTATAATTTCTTTTAGCTGATCATTTTCAAAATTGTCTTTTGAAATATGATTGATTATATCCTGCATATTTGAAATTGATTGAATCAAATCATTACTGGGAGTACAAAGCCATCGTCTACCCGCATATTCTCTGTATTTTATGTATTCTATTTCTTCTTCAGAAGTAAGGTCATATTTACAGTTAACACAATGTTTAAAAACTTGAGTTTTTGCTTTTTTTAAGAAATATCCACTAACATATTGTAATGGCGCAATTATACGGGGGGTTGTTTAGTTTCAATGTAATTGGTGTGAAGTTTATTTCTAAAATTTTTGTGAAATCAAAAGTGCAGGTTGACGATGCCTCTGAGTTTTCATTAACGATGAGAGTATGCAAGGCATTACAATAATCGAGCTCGCAGTTTTTACCATGAGTGTGGACACTAGTTAAATTATTAATCAAAAGTGTAGTAAAAGCTGACTCAAATTGGTCACAAGTTGGATTAATATTGCGGCACCCATGGCTTCTAACCGCACCAAAGAAATTTTCCAGTGGGTCCTGATTTAGATGACGCAACCACACTGATGTAATACCATGATCAATTTCCAATTTTTTTTAATAAAACTTCGATCCCTTCTAGTGTCCACACCCAATTTGTCACAGTTGGAATAGATTCTTCCCTCCCAGTGGAAGATATAAATTTCATAGACGCAAAAACTTTTTTGGCATCCATCCATGTTTTGTGATGTATGGAGTGAGGTGTTGCAGCTCCAAGTAGAGGTTTAGCATGTCTTTTCTTTTTAAAACTGCCATTAATTGAGTCGAAAATATTATCCATGAAAAGCAGCAGATCAGCCGTGTCTTTGCACTCTTCTGGAAGTATGCCCTTATCTGTGAAACAAATGTTCATTTGGATTAACAAGAACAATAAAACATTCATACAAGATATATGAACTAAATACATTGACTATACCTGCTAGGTATCCCATATTTGATGATACAGTGCGACTGAAAATCTGTGAAGCATATTTGACTTTCATTTTGTTTCATTTTTCTGGGTTAATATGGGCTTCTGTTAGTTTTGGAATTAGTCGTATTCCTTTATACCCCGGATCTTCTTTGTATAAAAGTTGCAAATGAGACCATTTGGCGGTTTTGGTCACGCCATCTACGGTGAAATTTAAATTTTTGGTTAATAAATTATTTCTTATGCCTTTAAGAAGATGTGGAGGTTCATAATCCAGTAATTTATCAACATAATATTATCTTTAGGAGTTTCCCCTCTTCTCAAATAATTACCCCTAGTTTCATTCATCAAAAGTTTTATAGCCTGTCTATTATTTGTGCCTTGGTCGCATACTGTAGCCACCACAATTAATCCTGCTTTTTGTATCTCTGTTATTACTTCTTTTATTTGATTCGCTAATTCTGGTCCTTTTGTTGCACTTGACGAAAACGTATAAGACACAGCTTGTTTATAATTGTGGATCAGCCCACGAATCATGAAAACTTGGGCATGATCTGCATACTCTGGCTTTCGTTGCTGTCCATTATCAACAAACCCTATTACTTTATTTTTTCTCTCATTAAATGTAACATGAGCTTTCAACATCATTTCATCAAATAACAGAATACATAATTTTTGTTCTGTGTTCATAGTTTGTGCTTTATTTTTTAACTGGGAAAAAATATTTTTATTAAGTCCTGGTTGGAGATTACTCCTCTGTATGAGTTTAATGAGAGTTTGAGGGGCAGGCAAAATAAATATTTTTCTAAAAAACCGATATCCTTTGGGGCTTTGCTTGAATATTGACAAAGCAGCAATCTTCTCTGGCAGGGTAAATCGTCGTCCTTTTTCTTGTTTCTTATTTTCTCGCCACTGTAACTGCATTAAAATTTTCGCAGTACTGGAACAATTGTCTAAAACTTTTAAAACTGCAGGATTTGTTGCAAACTTTTTTTGCTGCTTTTATTTGAGCATTCTGTTTCGCAATTATATTTTTCATTTTACTGATTTTTATTTTAGATGCTATAATTTGCTTAAGCAGCTCTTTTTCAACCTTGGTCTGAAATACCCTTTTGGTCTTTTTCTTGACTGCTAATGTTCCTCCTTAAAAATTAGAAATAAATAAATATATCAACTGGTTTTGTTTAAGAAAGAAACATTTATTGCAACACGCCACAAACATCATTAAGTATTTATTAGTTGTGTTGCAAATTGACCTTCTTGAATCAAATATTTTTAAATTTAGTGACCAATACTTTAATGGCAATTTTTGTACCTATTGTCTAATGTAAAAAAAAGTAAAGTTGCAGCCTATATATACGTCCCACTGCTGGGCTCTGGCCTCCCCTCATTTCTGAGAGGGTTTAGGGCAAGGAAGTGTCCGCCGCGCTGCCCAAATGCGTGTTGACGAACTTCACATGTCTTCGAAATATTTTTTTTTCTTATTCCTCAGACATGCAGGTTTCTTCACGATGTTTTCCTTCACCGCCGAGCACGTGGTAAATCAGCACTTAAAATTGCAATTAACAATTTCATTGGTGCCGGCGGGGATCGAACCCGAGTTACTCCACTGAGCACCACAACAGCGTTAACCACTGAGCTACCACGGCTCTGGCTCTTGTCTAATGTAAATTCTTTAAATTAGTTAGGTATTTATTTTACGTTCATGCACAAAATAGTTCATATGGCGGATACCGGATTACAAACGCAAAAAAAAATAATACAAATAAATATTAAATATTATCTGTCAGAACAAATATCAAATATGATATATAAATATCTCTCTAACTCTCAATCAAAATAAACCATACCTAAAACCATTTCAGCCCTTTTCTTTATAACTACAGGATTTGTTGATATCACAGGTGCTTGCATCGCAGTAACCGGATCTGAAAAATTAGTTAATTTTCTTTCACTTCTATAATTATTCCTTTGCTACTTTATATTAATGTAATAGTTTAGCCACGATTTTACACAGGCGCTTGTGACAAATGAGCACACAATCGACCTGATGGTAAGTGGATGTTGTAGCCCATAGACATCTACATTTATCCTTAATTAAAAAATCAAAATGCAATGTCGTTGTCAAATTGTTGTTGTGCGTAGGACTAAGATGGAATGCCTCATTTCCAGTAAAAAAGGGGACTCCTGGGATGATAATATCTCATATAATAGTTCGATCCTATACCTATCAATTTTGTAAACGCGTCCTTAAAAATCTTGATTATGAAGATGTAGAAAACATGTTAAATGGTTTATGGTAAACACACACACACAAACACGCAAGCGCGTGCAAACATGCACACATGCGTACACGCACAAACTCATACACACACTCACACACGCACACTGCCGCACACACACGCATACACATGCGTTCACACGAACACACATGAACGCACGTACACCCACACGCACACATAAACTCACACACCCACATGCGCAAGCACATGCTCACATCCGCGCGCGCACACACACACACACACACACACACGCACGCACCCACGCACACACACACACACGCACACACACACACACACACACACACACACACACACACACACACACACACACACACACACACACACACACACACACACACACACACACACACACACACACACACACAGACTCACACACACACACACAGACGCACACACACACACACACACACACACACACACACACACACACACACACACACACACACACACACACACACACACACACACACACAACACACACACACACACACACACACACACACACGCACACACACACACACACAGCACACACACACACACACACACACACACACACACACACACACACACACACACACACACACACACACACACACACACACACACACACACACACACACACACACACACACACACACACACACACACACACACACACACACACACACACACACACACACACACACACACACACACACACACACACACACACACACACACACACACACACACACACACACACACACACACACACACACACACACACACACACACACACACACACACACACACACACACACACACACACACACACACACACACACACACACACACACACACACACACACACACACACACACACACACACACACACACACACACACACACACACACACACACACACACACACAACACGCACTCAGGCGAATACCTTGTCGTTGTCGAGTTATTCGTCAAAAAAGTCGTTTATTTCGACCATAAGGATCATAGATGTTAGTAATAATACAAATCTTAAAACTAATTTTAGTTAAACTTGAAACTATTAACTTAATTTTAAAACTATTTATTTAAAACTATATTTAAGACAGGTCCAATTAGTCAGCACGTACACCATATGACAATGGTTCAGGTAATGACCTCAAACCTGTCAGAAAATGCCCTCAGGATACCATTAGAACTGGCCCGCACCCTACGCACCAGGGATCTGCATCGTTTACGCATGGTGGTGTAGAAACAATCCACACGCGCATCCGCAAACAAACCCGGCGCATTACAGTAACGAGGCAGACCCAACAGCACCCTGAATGCTTTATTGTATTGAACACGCATTTAATCTGTAGCTTGTACCGCCAAAGATACGAAACGGCAACGTCGCGGCTGCTTTCAGCCAATCCGATCGTTTGTCTTATCATTTTCTGTGCTCTGATTGGCTCATTTAAATCGGATCAACATTTTCCGTAACCATCGCAAGGTGGATTTGTATATCGGATCAACTTCGGCAAACAACACACACACATATATATATATATATATATATATATTTGTATTATAATAAAAGTTTATATCTTATGTTCAATAAATTGAAACTGTTAATAAATGCCATCAAAATTCTGACTGACCAAGATTTTCTTTGTGAGATGTATTTCCTTCCATTTTTGTATGTAATTGATGTACCGAGCATTCAGAGTAATGATCTGAAACGAAATTCATAATTCAAAAGAAGAAAAGATTTAAAGAACCAAAATAAATATATCACTAGGGGTTAGGAGAAATGGGTGTTTCTCAGTGGATTGAGTGTAACTCCCACAACAATACAGTGTTAAGTTTAGAATATGAGTTGTTTAATTAAAGTAATAGACGGATCAATGTGTCTCCTCTCGTTAACATCTTTACCAACATTACATGGCGACCCTGCCAGGCAATGCGCTGCAAATATTCAAGTGCACAGTCACAGCTGCATAGTTATTTAATTGTTAAATTGAAAAAGAATTTAACTGTAATTTACTTTGTGCAGTATACAGGTTATTGTTTAAAGAGTAGCTAAATTTTAAATTAAGTTCAAATATATAAATGATAAACCATTATTGCAGTTTTTGTAAATATGAGCAAGTAAGGCTTCTAATTTTATTTGCATCTATTCCAAATTGAACGTGATTTATGGGACACCATGTTTTTGTCTACAGATTGACCCTTATAAATGAGTGCGTGCACAGTAATATCAGTTAAAATAATGCATTTTTGAATTTAAAAGATAAAAAAAGAGGGGTGTTATAAATTAAACATTTGTATCTGTGTGTCCATCTAAAGCATCATAGTGGCCAAACAGATGGAATATAATTTAGCTTTTTTTGTTGACAGGTGACTTGATCAAGAGATAAGCCGTTCAGCCATCTGAAGGCAATCATCTCTTTTATTAGTTTTGAGGTTTATTAAAATTTTATTAAAGTTATTTAACATGTACATAAGTTTTATAAATTTTATGTTAGATTATTCCATTATATTTGTAGAGATTTTATTGTGTTTAATTTTATGGATTTTTAGTTATCATATAACAATATATAGTATATATTTTAGACTCTTAGTTAAGTCAATCCAAATTTAGGAACTTCTGTATCATCTCAACCCTTTCTACTGGAAACTTCTTTCTTTTTTTTTAGTTAAATAAATTAACATTTTTTCATATGTATATTAAGTCCCCTTGAAAAGGTCACACACTATGTTCAGCTGTGGACTTGTGATGTGCTGTAATCATGATAATACATATATGATCATATATATCAGTACCTGTTGATGTTGACGGTTCTGCTAGCTTCAAAATTTCTTTCATGGGTTTTCTTTTCATAACTGCTGGTTTATTTGATAATGTAGCTAAAAGAAAATAATAGGATTTTCTTAAAATTTGAAATTATTTATATATATGGCAATAAAAAACAGGCCCAGTATCTGTGATGACTTGCAAAAAGTATAATTTCACAATATAATAATAATATATAACATTATTTAATGAAAAAAGTAGAAAAAGTGGGGTGATAACACATTGCCAACTTAATATTTATGAAAACTAGGCTTAATTATCATATCCTCATCCTTCTGTCAGCCGGAATCGCTACATGTATTATCCTTTTAAGCTCTATAGTGCATATAAGTAATATTTCATTTTATTCTATTTATTTAATGAATGAATCATTGTAAAAATTAATGCTATGTAGGTACCTACTCAATTAGACATATTTTACAATAAAACTATACATGTCATTGATAATATACTGTCCTAAATTAATTCTATAACATATTTACTTTTTCTGTAATCTATAAAGACAAACCTGGCATATTCAAAGTTGGCACAGCAATGTTACTAATTCTGTTATTTCTGCATTGAAATTTTTCTTCAAAATGTGAGTGATACACACGGCGATACTTGAATATGTGCATATTTTCGAGGCCTAGTATATCACCGCCAATTTCATAAATCCATACCCTAAATCGTTCACTTTCCTTTTCTGGGTTTGGAAATCTGTGAAGAACTAGCTTGCCTAAAATATTTACAAGATACATTTAAAAAAAGTCATACTTATGTGTTAAAGCCTAAGACAAATAATGCCCTTGATGCAAGTTGCTTGGAGACGAGATGACTTACCCTTACTGTCCTTACACCCGGGGACACAGCAACGCTTATCTGACATAATTATTTAAATTATTTATTCTATGTAACAATGGAGACAAGATATCACAAAAAAACAAATCGTTGGAAATGAAGTTGTAAGAATAATAGGTAGCTCAATTCAACGTAAATAATATAATAGATAAAATAAAACAAAAAAAAAAAAATAACATAAAAACACTTTCATAAAATAGGAGCAACTCCACCAAATAAAATAAAATATTAGTTATTCGCAACTCCAATATCGAGAAACAAGTAGCGGGAAACGTGAATAAAACTCACAGAACACTATTACTCCTATCGGAGAAGAATGACAACTTCATACAAAATTTAAGAAATGCTATATAACCACTAGCTCCATCTATCGTCAGCCTCCTGCACTTCTCGTGTGGCGGGAAATTTGAACGTGGTCTTTTTTGGTTTTTTTATTTGAGGCATTTTTTGGGTTGCCTATCCCAGCGCTAAATAAAAGAACAAAATTACAAAATTTCTATTTATTTATTCAAAACAAAAATAAAAAAAACATACATAACTTAAGACAAAATTTCTCCAGCAGCTTAGTTCTTTCTTTCTTATAAAGACATTTGATGGGTTTAAACATGAAAAGAAAATCAATATTGATTACAACATTTCAATTACTTAAGTAAACAATATATATAAGATTTACAATCATGGATGAATTGATAATATGCACAATCACAAATCACAGAATGTCTATAATAACCCAAATGTCAATATTTTAATCAAAAACAAGTTAATAAATAATCTCCTACACACAAGTGCAAAATTCACAAATAATAATTCTGTTTTGATAATATTTGGTTCTCCATCTATTTTTTTTTTATAGGATAGGGTGACAAACGAGCACACAGTCCACCTGATGGTAAGTGGTTGCTGTGGCCCATAGACATCCACATCTATCCTCGATTACGAATCAAAATGCAGATGCGTTCACCCGTGAGGACAAAGATGGAATGCCCCGTTTCCAGTAAAAAGGGTCTCCAGTTCTCTACACTCACCATACGAAATACAGCAGCATTATAAGCTACTATTTCTCACTGGTATTCTGTGAGAGCGTGGTCCTTCCCCGGTCGAGCCGACCCATTCGTGCTACAACTATACTTCTAATATAACTGCAGCATGGCTCTACCATGTATAAAATTTCCCTGAATTGATACTAAAAATTTTGTCTCTATATTATATGCAATATATTAAGTATTGAATGAGCTTATAAATAGAATAATTTTAATTCAAAATTATAAAACGTATTAAATATTAGATTACAAAAATATTCCTTATATAATTTTAAAAATTTTCATATAGAGTACTTTCTTTTCACCAGGTTCAACGTTATCTGTTATGCTTTGATGTTTGTGGTTGTTCTTCAGTGGATATAATGTTGTCCTTTTTGAAGATCCTGCTTGTAGTTTTGCAGCAATAATTTGTGAGGAGCCAGCTTGTGATTCCACAAAATAAAATGGGAATACACTTTGTTAGTCTGGGAATAAATAAAAACTGAAATAAATTATAGTATCATAAAATTATTATATAAAATTAAATTAACATTATATTCACTGACATTACTTTCACAGTAAACCAGTCCCTGCTCGCGGCGCTACATTACCCTTCTACCAATACAAAATAAATGAATGGATCTTGTTCATCCAACTTGCTCTATAATACAACCACTATTACAATTAATATAACAAAATAAGATAGTAAATACAATAACTATGTGAAAAGAAGTCTAGTATTTATCTATTGTTTGAGAACCATTCGATGCATGTATTTCTACTGTGTTGTACAAGTTGTGCCTTTAAATTTGATAGGTTTAGGACGAAATGTAATTATTCATAGATTGTGATGCTTGAACTTTCTTCAGGTTTGTTGTTTTAAAAAAAATATTTGATTGTTAAAAATATTTATGCAGTGTGTTGCACTTTTAATAATGTAAGAAAGGGCTTGTGCTAACTTTATTGAGTTATAGACTTCAATCCTTTGGATGCCTTGTCCGTCCAATTATTATAAATTAGTTTAAAGCATTCACAGGATACAAACTACTGTATGTGGTCTGTCCATCCATGTTAGATCCAGACGATGGTCATATGAATAATCGTCATCATCTTCATTACTGTCTATCAAAGTCCACTCCTGAATATAGTAATCCCCATATAAAATATCTGAGTAATCCTTAAAGAAAACTATATACATACCATATTACCATATACATTATACACTTTACTTACATCACATGGGAACGCAGTTCTTAAGAGCTTTTTCTTGATTGCGTCATTAAATTAACCATCATGAAAATGTTTTTCACACAGCATTCTGGGCTTATTATGTAGCTTTGTCTGGAAAGCTGAAGTAGTATACTGCTCTTGGGAAGGAATATAATATTTCGCCCACAATTTACAGCTGAAAACAAAAGATATAATTATTAAATACAAATATTATCAAAGTAGGTCCAATGGTTTACAAACCCATAATTTGTTTTTAAATGGTTAACGAGAAACAATAAGTTGTACAAGAGATTTACTTTAAGGTTAGAACTTATTAAATAGTGTATATGTATATTGTATACGTACCGCAAAATATACTATACTGCGGGTTTCGGAAACCTAAATAATTTAATGTAGTCAATGGTTGGTAAGCTGTTGCACTTAGAACACTTTTTCTATTTTCTTTATCCGCCATTGCAGCAGTTTTTAGAGTCACTATTTCGTATTTCACTACGAATCATTGACTAACACATTGCACATCATATAAACGAAGGACATTAATCTCAACTCAGCATCGTAAACTTGCAAAATCTTAGAAAAGACACAAGCGAAACAAACATAACAACTAATCATGAACAACAATAATTTATTCGGCGGCGCCATATTATGAGAAATGAGAATTATATACAGTGTTGCCAACGGATGAAATAGCAATCCGCCAGACAAGGCTCCTCAAACCACCAGAAAATCACTAACAAAAAGATGTCCCCCTCTGAAAACCACTAAAATTTCCACTAAGATATATGAATATGATTAAAGCAAAAAAAAAGTAAAAGTACGTTTATTATTAAAAATCTCATTGTTGTTAATATAATTTTTTTACTTTTAGTAATTAAAAAAATAAAGTTGCTTAAGATATTATTTACATTAATAAATCGTCTTCAGATGAATCTGCATTTTCATTTTCAGCCTTACTGTTATCCTTATCGGACTGATATGACTCCTTCGTCCCAATTTGTTTTATAATATTTAAAGGAATTTCATAATTGTTGCAGCACTTTCCCATTAACTGCATACCGCAGCGTATTTTTAGAATTGATTTCAAAAGAGTTAGCTTCATTCTGTTTCGCTGCTTGTTTTTTATAATATTCATGCTACTAAAAAGTCTTTCCACATCGGCATTCGAATGTGGCAATACCAAAAGTGTAATCGCAAATGTTGCTAATTCTTGAAATCGAGCAACACCTTGTGCATCTTTGAATTTCAAGACTTCGCTCCAAAAATTTTTTGTATCTTTTGTTTCATTCCATCTCAGTAAATGAATTTGCTGCCATTGATCGTCAATTTTTGCAATTAATTCTGTACTTGTTACGAACCGAGCCATTATATCAACAAGATTTTCTTTGTTGTGATGCAGGGCTTTTTCGACACTTATACGGGATATTTGTTTCATGAGAGTAATATTTTCCGGCAATCTGTTTTTTATTTCGTCAATGAGACAAACTATAAACTGTATGCACCTATTCCGCAATACTTCTTCCTCTTCCCGGGGAAAACCTTTCTCTTTCATTTCTTGAATATGTTTTTCGAATCGGAATCCCAGGTAGCATCTTTGGTCCAAATAGTCACGAATATTTTGAGTAAAGATATCTATCTTATGTGTAGGCAACGTTACTTTGGTGACAAGCGTATCAATCAAGTTTGTTAATTCACCGCACAATAAGGTGTGGTCCGTATTTTTTGACTCAAACATTTTATTAACTCTGTTTATATCAATCAAAATTGGATAAATAAATGATACATATGCATAGTTTATATCATTCGCATACATAGAGTGCAATAGCTCTGACGTGTGGCACCTTTCGTGCAACTTAGCAATCGAAAAATGAGTTTTAAGCTCCAGCCATTGCGTATAAATTCTCGACACAGCAGACTCTATGGATAACCATCTAGTCTGACAGGCTTGAACAATTTTAAGAGGCTTCTGTCCATCGTTGATGGATTTGTATAGCTCTTTATAGATAACTTGTCTGGAAGACGAGCGAGCAAACCAATCATATGTCTCTCTAATTAAAAATTCAAGATTTCGCGGAAGAAATTCCTTTGCTGCTGCTGAAACAGCCAGTTGCAAGGAGTGGCATAAACAACGTACCAAAACTAAGTGCGGTATTTCTTGTTTCAATCGGGAAAAAACTCCATTATTTACGCCAACCATCACCGAAGCATTATCTGTGCCAATACCCATTAAGTTTTCAATTCGCAAGTCGAAATGTTTAAGCGTCCGCTTTATGGCAGAAACAATACCTTCAGCATTACATGCGTCGAGTTCAGCAAGGTCCAAATAAGTTGAAACTATTTTTTCATGTGTAGTGCTGTAATAAATTATAACTAAACCCAAATATTTTTGTACAGCAATATCTGTGGATTCATCTATTAATAAACTGTAT